TTTTCAGTTATGTTTGTCCTCTATTTATTTGGATGTAAGTTAATTTTAATATAAAATATTATCGAAACTTTTTGCCTTCGTCTTTATGCATTTCTTAGTCTACTTTCTTTAATTTTTTTTAATCATGAAACGTACCGCGTGGGGTTCCAACGTAATATATGCATATCATTTCAATCTCTTATTTTATTGGGAGCAATTTGACGGTTGATTATTCAATTTCTCCCCCTCTCGTCTTATCGAAAAGTAGGCACAACTCAAGAAAATAATTTAGTTTTGTCGTACCTAAAATGCTCATAAAAGTTCGATCAACATTGTGTTTGATCTTTGGTAAGAGTGAAGAGTCCTGAGTTTGAGGCTATGCAGGATTAGTTTTTTTTTTTTTGCCCGAGAAAACAGGCTTCTCATGCCTTCCCTTTTGTAGCCAACTCACTCACACCCCACCAATTCTTTCTCAACTGGAAACTTGTAATAAGTGCCGGTCTTGTTGGGCGAGCTCGTGACGAGAGAGATGGACCAAGCAAACAATAATATTAAGTGGGTTTAGAACAACCCAATTAAATCCAAAACCTTAAAGCTGAAGTTGTACGAGTCATTTACGTACTTGTATGGTCATCACTTAGTTCAGGTCTAACCAATGTGGAACTTGTTTACAACTCACACTTGATTATTTCTATCAAATATTGCTATTTTGTTGATAAGAAATTCAAAAACTCATAATGACAGTGATAATGTCAGTTTCCCCCTCCCACTTGGAAATAAAGCAGTAATATTTTACTTTTTTACATCATGAAATATTTAAGCAATAATGTAATTATTTTACTTTTTCTCATTTTATTCATCCTAAAATATCGAAACATAATTTTAACCGTTGTTTCATTCGTCAATCAACCTTGCCAGTTGCCACCTCCTCGCTAGAGCTCAATCCTCCTTGAAGATATATATAGATATGGTTGTGTTTCTTTCCTTCGTAGAGTTTTAGTATATTTGGGGATAGGCCCTCCTTTGTAATAAAATAAAATTGTATGGTTGTACATTATCCTAAACTCATCAGATTACTTACTCCGACTTGATAATATACAAAAATTATCATCTAAACATGATAGACACGTATATCACCCCAAGAAAAAAAAACACATATATCACAAAGGTTGCTTGAATTTTATTATATTTTATTTTAAAACTTGTTGCCATAAGCACCTTTTATGTTGGCAGTCTATGGAGTAAGTCCTTAAACTGTTGATTAAACTCAGTCCAACTTATAAGTAGGCTGTATAGAATTTAGAGGCTAAATATTCAAACTGTTTCGTGGAAGAATATCTTGTCCGGCATGCATGGACCGTCAAAGTAAAAGGGCTGCGGTGTACCAATCAGAAACCGGACCAACGTCATAGCAATGGGAGTTTATGAATTATGAGTATATTTCACGCTGTCTGTTGTTACAAGCATTATATAGGTGGCTCTATTAATATTTATGAATATTTATAAAGAGAATAGGTGGGGCCGTTTAATATTTGTGAGTAGATAAGGAGGGAGATAAAAAAAAAATTTAGGTATAATCAGATCATGTAAAATCAACCTATGAAAGGGTTCATTCCTCCTAACAATGGAGACTTTGACAGTGTCCAAACAAAATAAAAAAAAATAAAAAAATTCAATTCCTAGAATTTTGTGTTACCTACCCAATAATTCAAGTTTAACTAAAAATGGATTTTTTCATGTTAAAAAATAAATTCATATGTGAAATTTGTATATCTATCCCCTCTGTTTTTAATGTTTACAAATTTTAATTCACTAATTGATTCCCATTATTTAATGCAAATGAAAATAGAGGGTTGTGAATTTTTAAGGTTACACTTAACTGATTACAACAATTGGTGAAAATTCGACTAGGTCATAAAAATTAATGCATGTGTTGTCTGTTTGTTGTTAGTTTTCCTCTGTAATCCAAAAAATAAAAATATAAATTAATGTATGTGAATTTTTTACATTGTGGTGAAAACTCGATTCTAATATATTCGGTGGCGGCTGAATGAGATGGGACGGAAAATCTGTTCAAAGGAAAACACGAGGCAGCTAATTAGGTAGTTCGTGCGGAGAACATAATTTTGTTTGTTAGTCATAGCAATGGGAGTTTATGTGTGTTATACGTAAATTTTGTGTCAATTATCTAGTTATAAGTATTAAATAAATGAGTCTTATCAATGTTTATGAATATTTATAAAGAGAGTAAATGGAGCTCTTTCAATATTTATAAAGACCGAAAGATACAAATATTTACATTTAATCAAATCATGGAAAACTTACAAATAAAAGGAACCATTCCTCTAGCAATATGGAGACTTGGATTGTATCCAAATAATAATAAAAAAATTTGATTCCTAGAATTTTCTAAAATTTTACGTTACCTTCTAATTAATAATTCAAGTTTAGATGATTAAGGAAGGAATAAATATAATATTTATGTGAAAATTTTATGTTTATCTCATCCTCCTTTAATGTTCACAAATTATAATTGCATGACTCCCCCTATTTAAAAAATGTGAAGAGAGATTATTAGGCTATATAAATTTTTAGAATGAGAAGATTCACTCCCAATTAATTATAATAATTAGTGAAAATTCGACCAGGTTATAAAAATTAATGCATGTGAATTTTGTATACAGTGGTGATAATTCGACTCTAATATACTCTGTGTGGTGGCTGAATGAGATGGGGGCGGAAAATCTGTTCAATGGAAAAAATGTGGCAGCTCGTGTACTCAGGGCGAAGAACATAATTTTGTTGGTTAGCTATGTTTTCCCCCCTTTGAAATAAGGGGTGCGTTATTGATTTATTGCACATCTCTCATCATCACTATTTTAACAACGCCAATAAATATATAATAATTACACATATATTATTTAACTATAGTACGGCGTACAGATTTAAAAAGAAAAAGAAAAAGAAAAAGAAGAAGATAAAAACAATAAAAGATAGATCAATTTGTACAAGGTGTGTGAAGAAGTACAAGGACAAAATAATAAACAACAACAAAAAGGTATAAGGAAAAATATGATATAAAATAAAATGGGCCTGCACACATCAAATTTGGCTTTAAGGTAAAATAGCTAACACAAACAGATAAATAGAATCACCTACCCAAGTCCATCTACCCGAACCAACTGCATGCACTTACCTCTAATATATGGTCTCCCAAAGCCTTGAGATTCGCCCTTGTGGCTTGTACTGCAAAACAAGAGATAATACAAGGCATTATTATATTAAAATTATCTCTTTGTACACATATATAAATCCGTCCTTCTTCCTTGAAAGCATGTTTTTTAAGCTTTGAATATTACATATCGATGGCAAGAAGACTAATAGCTTTCACAGAATTGTAATATAGAGCTAAGTTAACAAGCTTTTAGCTGTGATACACAACATATTTAGTCTTTTATGTCTTCAATCCTTTATTTGTTCAGAATGAAGAGAAGTACAGAAGTTCAATGCCAGATTAATCTTTTGCCATTGACTAAAATCAGAAAATGCATGAACTGAAATTTTTTGGGTTTTCAGTCTTAAACTTTGTTATGAACATGGCTGAGTATGTTTTTTGTTTTTTTAACGCCAAGGCATCTAAAAGAGTGTGCGCTTGTGAGGTTATTTTGTGAATTTGGATTTTGCTGATTACATTTTAAACTTGTGTTAGTATTATGGAATTTGAAATATGGACATCTTAAATTGTGTTAAGTTGTGTTTTTTTTTGTTTTTTTTTTTTTTTTTGAATTTTAGGTATGGATTATGAATTTGTAAATATATCTATCTAGTTTAACGAGTGACAGAATAGTTGAACCAATGATATTACCAAGTCAATGGTCTGGTCAGATTTTACAACATTACTTGCTAGTTTTACCAGTTGACCGTGTTATTAGTCCAGAGCACTCATTATTTGTGATGAATTTATATGTCAAACTAATTTTTAGGCCAGCTTAATTAAAATAAGTTTTTCTATACAATTATGTATTTTTTATTACATTTTTGGTATGTCACATGAATGATAAATTTTTAATATATTATTTTTATTATTTTATTATAAGCGGTATCCTTTACTGATATCCTATTAATTTAAATGTATAGTAGAAAATTCGTTAGACAAGCATGATTTGAAAAAACTCAGTCTTCATATTTCCAATCCAAATTGTACATTTCGTATTTGACCCTTTTAATTATGATATGATTGTTATGGATTGTAATTTGAAAAATAATATTTGCACATTATTTTTTTGAATGATAAAATAAAAATACACGTTACAACATTTTCTTTTTACTCTTTTATTAAAACAAAAAAATATTATAAAAATAAATTTTAAAAATAATAAATTAGTCTTGTCAAGAAAGACAATTTAGTTTAAAGGTTGCGCTACCCTGACAAGTGACTAATGTAATAATTCTATGGATTTGATATTTTTTATGTCATAGAAGATAATTAAAATTATCTCTTATATATATATATATATATATGAAGTATATATTATATTATGTGAAAAAAAGAAGAAAAAAATGAGTCTCACATACTTTTATATTTGTATAGGAGATAAAATTATCTCCCATAATATAAAAGACATTAAACACTAATTTATAAACTCTCCCCATTTTAAAATAATATTTATACATAAAATGTTTTACATTTATATTTTACTTATTTAGAATAAAGTTGGGAAAATAGTAGTATATAATTATGTGTTTTTCCTATATCATTGAAAAATAATTAAGAATAATATAAAGTGATCGTTTGGTTTTATTTTCTTTTTCCTGAATGTCTGAATTACCGAGTTCTACGTACCTAATGTTCATCCAAAGCATTTTTGCACCTTATGATGTTTTTCATATGGGTGCCTTAACCAATGCTATTAAAATTGGCATGGTCAATGACCCAGTCAAGGTACTCAGTCACTAGGTCACTAGTTCAACCACTGAGTCATTGCAATGACAGACCTCCCATATTTCAAGTATATGGATGAACAGATCATTGATGAAAAGACCAAATATAAAATTTTTGTAGCTATATCTTACAGTTGACTTACAGATACAAGATGGAATTATTCAGTATTGCACTTCAAAATAAAGAGATAGAATCATTCTTGAGGGGCATAAGCAAACATTCCAGTTGAAATAGAGGACTACTTACTTCAATCAGAGTATGATATAGCATTAGTACTCTGACCCACATTGCAGTTGACCAACTGGAAGGAGCCTCCTGCAGCTTCAATAATATCTAAGGCCTCATTTATCAGAAACTTATCAAATAAGTGACCACTGAGAGATACCTGTCAGTTATATTCAGCGATCTTGATCAGAAGATTAACTAGAAACTATGGGATTATCATCATTATCTCTATGGAAAGAATTTTTATTGCCCGAAAGGGAAACAGAAGAAAGAGCAATCATGCTTAAGGTCGTTCCGTATGTTCCCATCATATGTTGGAAATCAGTAAAACGGACTACTCTTACCAACTAGTGGTTAATTAACTTCTCAATCGTACTGTTTATCAATTAATAAAAATCAAAGGGACAAATAATATAAGGTAACTCATGAAATATAAGGTATCACAAGACCATTTATAAAACCATTTATGAAATATAAGGTACTCATTTTTGTTAAATTGGGGTTTAAATTGAAATTCCTTATCTAATTATCTTGATAATTATGTTTTAAGAATAATGCTATTATAGAGATTATAGGAGAATCTTTAGTAGGCTGTTAGTTTGTTTCCTAGTCTTGTTTATAGCAGACTAGTTTCTGAAATTTTTAAACACCTAACTTGCTCTCTATACCATGCAATTCTTATATGCTCTGAAACTCAAGTTTAACAGCTCTGCCATGTCACAGTGTGACCAGTATGGGATGAATACTCTTAGAGTATATTAGAATCTCCCATCTATCCCTCCCTTCTCCAGTAACATAGGCCATAAGCCATCTCCAGTAACATAGGCCATAAGCCATAAGTCATGTATGCATAATTGCATATGCACCCTTTAGCATTTGTTTGAGACATCTTTCATGCAACTATGTTAATAATAAACTTTTTAAGAAACTACTCAATCTCATTCAAAATTCATTCAAATCGAAGACAAAAAACAAAGCAAGATCATTACCAAAATTTAAAAAAAATAGAAAAAAATGCAACAATCAAGTGCTTCATCAAATCTAACTCTCCAATTCAAACACCTCAATTCATTCAATCAAATAACGCACATCAAGACAATCAAATAGATAGACAGAGAACATCTTGAGTTATAAACTACTTTAAAGTTTGCTAGAGTTCATTCCAATATCTGCAAATCAGTGCCTGAGGCACTGACATGCAAAGAGAAAAAATAAAAGAAAAAAGAAAATAATTAAAACAATTCACTCACAATGTTTGCAGTCCTTTCATATTATCAACTCTAGGAAAAGTAGAATCAGTTCCATTCAAGTCGCTTATCCTCCTGCATTTCATATTTTGATTAAACAATACAATTAGAAAGCAATTTAGTTTTGAAACCCTTGTTATAATACAAAAATAATTTATACATAGAGCTTCACAAGAAAGAACAGTTTTACCACTGCTCCGGTTCGTCCCTTTATTTACATTAGTAAATAATTGAGAAAATTATACTGAACCGTGAGATTTGGCTAAATTACACTCACCTCCTCTGCTATTTCAAAAATTATATTGAATTGCTATACATTAAATTTCCATTGAAAAATAGTAATAATAATAAAAAATAACAACAACCAAGACTTATCTCAATTGGTGGGATTGGTCCCATTTAAGCTTTTGCAAACACATATTCCCCCTTGTACAGCCTTCCATACAAATAAGGGATAAAAAAAGGTAAACATAATTTAGACAAATCTCAAGTGAGGTCAATATAATTTTACTCTAATAATCAACCAATTAACATGATGCTTCAATATTCATTTCAATTTGACACACTAGTGGTTGCCACATGTCTTTGAAAACTAGGTTATAGGATAGTTGAGAAATAAGGAAAAATATAGTTTGCAGATATAAGAAGATTGAACTATACAGTGGTGCACGAAATGATTTTTCTCTTCCCCCCAAAAGAAGTTGTCCTGATTCCTTCTTCCCACTAAGACCACCACCTGCAGAAGAGAACAGAGAATAATCAATTGGCTCTGGCTCAGTGGGTAGAAATGCAACTTAAATAATGAGTACTTTAACTGACCTAACCTTCTAGGAATCCATCCAGGCATCAACTGCTGTCGATTGTAATCCATTATGATTTCACAATCATCAATAAAAGAATGATGAGCATCCTGCAAATGAGAAAAATTCAAAACATATCAGTACCATTAAAAATTTCATAAAAAGGCATATTACAAGCCAACTGGAGTTTAGATGATTTCATCAGCTACTTTAACTGTGGCTGTAAAATCAGCTGCTCTTTATTTTTATTTTATTTTTTGGGGTCAAGGCTGTCAAAATTTAACTACTATAACAACATGACTGAATATATATACACAAGCACGGGCGAAACATATCAAGTGAGAGCATGAGAAGAGCTAATTTTGACCATCCCTATGAGATTTAATGGCAAAGATTAGCTCTTCTCACACTTTTACCAGATAAGCTCCCTGTATATATAGATAATAAGGTTTGATAGGTTTTTAGTTTTTGTCATGTCATAAAGCTTCATTTTTTTAAGCTAAAAATTAGATAAAATTTTCACATGTAGCAGTACCATATACGCTCGTCGCATCTCCCTTTCAATTTCATATTCAACAAAAGCATAACCACAAGAAGCTCTAGTCACTACAACCAAAAATAAATAATCACATATAAAAACTTAAATCCCACAGCTTGACAATATGTATGGTTAAAAGAGAAAATTATCAATATATCATTCAAAAGCACAAATGCATAAAATTGCCAAACCAGTTGCAGGGGTTTAAATCAAAAACATGGCTATACAAGATGCAGTATAAATATCCCAATTGGAAATACTATGACTGTTGGTAAATGAACACTTACAAAGAGTTAATAAAGGATCCTTTTTTAGTGTGAGGACAACCATAAAACAACTTAATACAAGAAATAATATACGAATAATCATTGGTTCAAGTACAGTTTACCTTTCGAATATATTGGGAACATCTCATCAAATTTATCTTAATGGCCAATAAACTTCCTAGAAGGTTGCCTATGACAATACCAAGTATAGTTTTCTTATTCCAATTATTTGATTATGGATTAAGGAACATCTTATCAAATTTTATATATATATATATATATATATATATATATATATATATATATATATAAATTTAAGTAACCAGTTCCCCACACAGTACTCACTCACTGTTACCAATATCAAAAATAAGGTGAGCGTACCCCACTCAACGCGCCAAACACCATTATCCCTCATAGTACTCACAAGACTTTTGCTTTCATCTCTCACTACCCACCACCTATTCTAATAGTTAAACACCACAAGTTTCACAAACCCAAGTTATAAAGGCTCATCGTAGGTATATGGAACACTCTTGGCATCATCTCTTAAATTCCTATAAAAGACAACAAATAACAGGATTATAATAATATTAAACCTTATGCACCTATCCAATGCTAAATAAGTAAACAGTCAACTAAGTAATTGGAAAATTTCATGCAAGCACTAAAAGTCACATCTCATCACATGGAGCTAAAGAAAATCACAAGGAAAATCAGATGCTTCAAACTTCGGGTCACAACAAAAATTTCAATTGCATATAAAAACTAATAATAATTTACAAAGAAATTATAACTTAATTTTACATTTCCATACTAATTTAGCATCCCAGTGATTAAAATCTCAACGTGTGTAGAAAATGTCAACACAAACAATAAGATATGCTTACAAGTTCGACTCATCAGTGTGTTGGCGTAGCTCGACAATTCTACAGCACTGAGGTCTTGATCACACGTTGACGCGGTTCAACCACTTCAGCGCCTCGAAGAGGCGACGATCCTGATTTGAGGCATTGCAAAACAGAGGAAGCTATGGCAGTGGGAAGTCGATGTAGCGGTGGTCGGAGGACGCAACAGTCGTGGCGGTGACGTAATTAGTTTATGTGAAGTGAATTAGTTACCGAAAGGGAATTAAGAAGCAGAACGCGTAAAAATGGTAAAATATAGGGGAAAATTAAGGGAAATTAGGGTTTATATGAAGTGATGAAAGGCAAAGTGTATGTGACACTGAGCCCTATACGAATATATTAGGAAATGGATGAAGAGTTTGGGAAAGTACAGGTAAATAAGTGTCAAAGTAAAAAAATGCTTCGGGTCCTTCATTTTGAGAGGAGGGTTTAGAAAAATTAAAAGAAACATGTGTTGGCTGAATGAACGTAACTAAGTTGTCGTGGCTAAATGCCACGTTTTTTGTAGTGTTGATTGAACCGCATGACTCGATGATTATATATAAATTTATAATTTAGATTAAAAAAATTATAAATATACTCAAATAGCTGAAAAAATAATATAAATTCTAAATATTTTAATATAAAAATAAATAAATTATACATTATTGTCCAATATAAAGAATCAAACAAACACATAATGCTTGTTATATAAGTGTTTCAGGTTCGGTAAACGATATCTCTAACTATCATATCAAAATTTCCTATATAGTGCATAACTGAGATAATATTAAGATTGTAGGTACATAACTTATACAAATCAATAAGTAATAGATCACTCAAATATGTCAATTATAATTTTTTTTGGAAAACATTTTTTTAAATTTTTTTTTTAAATTTTTTTTTAAAACCCAGGCCGGGTCACCGGTTTTTCACCAAAACCGGCCAGGTCGTACCGGATCTGATACTTGACCGATTCAATGTGATAATCGGACCGTCAGATGACCGGTTCACCGGGTTCCGAGTCGACCCGACCGGTTGGGTCCGGTCCGGTTTTCACAACATTAGCTTTAACCTTTAGAGTAAAATATTTTTGGAATTCTCAACAAAAATCACGGGGTCTATTTAATCCCAAAAAAAATTGATTTGTTGTTGCTCTATAATTTAAAATAGACCCAATTAGTTAAAATTATAATGTCTCTGAAATTTAAAGAAGATCCATATTAATCTCTCAAAAAAACTAATATAGGTCTATTTTAAATTTTAGAGAGATCACAAGTCAATTTTTTTAAGGGATTAAATCAGGATCCGTAATATTTATTGACGACTCTAAAAATATTTTACTCTAACCTTTAATACAGCAACCAGGTGGGCGTTGTCCATTGGTTCGAGCTGGTGATTCTTCTAAGATGACCTTTTGCACGAGCGTTCTTCTTATGAATTTACTCTAGTTCTCGCAGCTTGGATAGAGCTTGTGTTGCCTGGGGCTTGGGTGTATTGACTTTTAGCGGAGTTTGGTACAGGAGAAATTATTTTTAATCAGGTAAATATAATTAGTGGGAAAATGGTTGTAAAGTAAAATAAATGAGAAAATTTTAAAAATATTATTTTATAGAACAAAATATTATCAGAAAAATTGTGTTAAATTTACTGAGGGAGGTGTTTGGTTGAAAGTAAAAGATTGACGTGGAAATATCACAAAATATCGAAAATAGCCCTGAATATTGAAATAGATACTGAGTAAAGAGACGTTGGACACGTGATACTCCAACGTTCGTCTTCCTTCCCTTCTTCATTTCTCTGTTTCTGTGTGTCGCTCGCTTGGAAGACAGCCACCATCACTCCGGCACGGTCAGGTCGCGGTGTGAACTAGCAATCTACACTGACATACAAGCTTTGACATCAGGATCGAGTTGCAAGCTGCCATCAAAAGTGAGTAATTTTGTTATCCTTTCATGTACCGACTGAATGTTTTTTCGTTGTGAGGTTTTGATTCGTCAGTTGCTTTTTGTGTTTGTTATCTTTTTCATGGTGGGGGTGGGAAAAAATTAATTGGTTTAATTTTGATGGTAAATATGTTTGAAATGGTTGAAACCCAAGTTTTAATAGATATAAAAATCGAAACCCTTGAACAGGTTTTTTATCCCCGAAGATGAAAAAAAATTAAGGGACTTGATGGAACTTGATAGCCCACAATGCACATAGTTATACAATGTATTTAACAGTTATTGGATTTATAATCATCTCTTTCTCCTACGGGGTGTTTACTTTGTTTAGTTAAAATTCAATGGAAAACTTGAAACTAGAAATTTGTGACCAGCATTATTTGATTGCATTAGTGTAATTAGCATATTTGTATTTTGTTTTTGCTTTATTGGATTACATTACTGTTGTCAGTGACAGTCAATATGTTTGATAGGATATACATATTATATCCCACGATTTGGATGAAGCTGAGATAATTCAGACGCGTGGCCCAAGACTTCATCAGTCTTCACCTAATTTTTTGTGTTTTTCTGCCTTTTTGTGCTTTCATTTTCTTTTATTTCCATGGCTGATCTGAAATAATGATTTGCAGCAATGACTTACTTATGATTTATTCTTTTTATTCTTCATTTTTAAGTTTGCCTTATCATAAATCTTTTTTCACAGAACAAAACAGATTTTTGGTGTGTCTCTCTCGCTCATTCTCATCAACTTGGCTGTTATTATGGAGCGTGCAGATGTAAATCTTCTTCCATCTGTCTACAAAGAAGTTAGTGAAGCATTTAATGCGAGGCCATCTGATTTGGGTTACCTCACATTCATAATGAACTTTGTTCAGGGGCTATCATCTCCTCTGGCTGGTATACTTGTTATTAACTATGATCGTCCAACAATTCTTGCTATGGGAACTTTCTGCTGGGCTTTATCTACAGCTACTGTGGGTGCTTGCCAAAATTTTCTGCAGGTTGCTTTCTGAAGAGCAATAAATGGCTTTGGTTTGGCAATTGTGATTCCAGCACTGCAGTCTTTCATTGTCGATATCTACAGGGATAGAGTGAGAGGAACTGGATTTGGATTGTTTAGCCTTATTGGTAACATAGGGGGCACAGGAGGTGGTGTTTTGGCTACGGTCATGGCTGGCCAGCAATTTTGGGGCATTCAAGGGTGGCGATGTGCCTTCATTTTGATGGCAACTTTGAGTGCATTAATTGGTTTCCTTGTTTTACTATATGTGGTTGACCCGAGAAAAGGATATACCACCACTCATGATGCTACTGAGAGTTCAGACAGGTAATGATATTTTACAATTTACATCACTCGTGGCATTTTATAATACTTACAACAACTTTAAGTACTTTTTGACCTCTTAAGTGCCTCCAAACTTTCTTTCATTGTTTTCTTCCTCATGAATAAAACTGAATGCTTTATTTTATATCTCTTTGACTGGTAAATATCCGTAAATCCCGTGTGTCAGCAGGGATGACTCTATCTATAAGGGCAGAGCTAGTGTAGCATCAATTTGGATGGACTCTTGGGCGGCAATGAAAGCTGTAATCAAAGTTCCTTGTATGCACCAAGTCAAAGTCATTGAAGATGCTGTCTAAAATATGTTTGGAGGATGAGGAAACTGTTGTTCAAGATTTAAGAATCCAGCTGGTTATTGATTATCATCTTAACCGGATTTGTGTACATGGATTAAGGGACTAATTTATTTGGCAAAGTGATGGTGCAAAAAATATATCGCTGGAAAATTGGATTTGTGTTGCTTCATGATGGGCATTGTGTCAATTTGGAAGGTGTAAATTGTATACATGGATAATAGTCTAGCAGATTGTAAATAAGAGTTTCATGTAATACATTAGGGTGTTGTTTGTAATTCAAAAAATTTGACAGCCCGATTAAGGCATGCCAATTATTAATGTTTGTGTTCAATAACATCAGAGTTATGTAATTCAAGTTGAACCCAAATTTGTGGTCCCATTTAAATTTCACTCCATTTTATATACAATCAAATTTTTAATCTCCAGAATGATTTAAAATTCTTCCATTCAATGAGATCATCTTTAAATTTACACATTCGACAAAAATGGCATTTTTCCTTAAATACAGTATGAAAGGAACAATTCATTAAATACATGACATTTACATATATACAAAATCGCATTGATAGAAGTTGTTTCTGTCGGTAATCAATTTGTATCTGTCAATTGCTGTCGCGGAATTTGGAGAGCAACCATCTAACTTGTCAGGCCTGAGAATCTCATCCATTGGGATAAAATTCCAATTCATCTTGTGCTGCAATTTATGGTTTGATGATAAACCAGGTCAACAGGCTGTCCTATAGGATATTGAGTCTCAACATCAATGACATAAAAGTCTATATTTCATCTCCTTTGGTGTCTTCCTCGCATATAAGCTTTGACAAATCTTGGTTAACCTTCAAACACATAAACAGACTCCATTCCTTCTCTGACTCAGTTGTGCAATTTAGAAAACAAAACAAAAGCAAACAACAAACTACTGAAAACTAGCTTTATTATGTAAAACTTAAAAGCACGAATTCTCATGTGTAGCTGATGTATAGCCTTCATATTCTAATCCAAAATAACATAGTCCTTACTAGCTTTTGTACACTCGGGCATTGTGGCAAACACAGATTGCACCTCTTGGCATCCACTTACAAGTACAAGAAGGCAACAAATGGCATACCATATTTTCTGTCTTACCATTGACACCAGAAAACAGTTATTGCATTAGTAAGTTCTAAGTAATTGAACTTGATATCTATCTGTGAAGGTGTTAACCCTAAACCTTATGAACATAATAAAATTCAGTCCTCCAAATGCTCTGAAATATTTTACAGATTAAACAAGGAGAGAAATTCTTCAAATATCTAATAATATAATTGCAATATATAACAACAGAATAATATCATATAACTGCTTCTACTGTTATATAGGATCACTTGGCACGACCAATTATCCTTTACATCTTACAACACAACTGGCAATAAACTATGTTTCCAATCACACTTGGTCAATCTAAACTTTTTGGATTACAATGTCACAAAATGGATTGCATAATAACTCAATCTCCAAGAAACTAAACCACATGTATCAACTGTATCAGAAACAAAAAAGGTTCAGTCTTCAATTCCCCCTGTATGCGAACAGGGCAGGAGAGTGGCAGATGAAATTCTTCCTGCAAGTATAGATAAATGATTTATAAAACAAAGAAACTTGTAATACAGATTAACAACAAAACTGATAGTTGTGAACAAATCACAGCTTACCTTCACGCTGAAGACCATTACTACTGTGTAGACTAATATTTTGGCATCCACAAAAAGGCAAGTAGCCACATTTTGCCCAGCATATAAATATAGGATATACATTGGCAGCCAACCGGACTTGTAATGAAAACACCAGTGTGGTTACAATTCACAAAAAGTTACAATCCATAACCCCAAAAGTATGATACAAAAAGTATGCCTATCTATCCACAGGACAACAAAAAAGAGTGATATTGTGTCAGTCACTGATTAGCCAAAAATCCAGCCACGAAAACAGCTTGTTGCGCGTGACTGCATTGCATGAAGACATCTGTGAGATTGCTATCCTTGCCCAATTGCACAGCAACATGAACCTGTTCTGGCACTATCAATTCTTCAAATTTCTCCAATTCTATCATAATTGACATTCGCCTATGACTACCCTCAGCTTGATGTTGAAAGCAACCTACCAACTTATCAATACTATCATTTGACTTCCTGTAATTATGACTAAGATCCTTCATAACATCAACAACTTCCACAACCAATGGATCTTCACTTCTCTGACGCTTCTTACCCCTCCTTGTTGTAGCAGTAGACACAGGAGATGGTGGCATCACCTCCTCTTGTGGGATATCAGGCATACTAGTATCAACACATAGTGTGGGGATATAGTCCTCAGTCAGGTCAAGGAAATCGTCAAAGGCAGTCCCACTCTCTTCATTCATAGCACCCTCTCACTCCATTTCGTAAACCGTATCTGCTGGTTCCTCTACATTAAGTTCAGTTGCTACATCTTTTCCGAAGACTGCTCCTAAGCTCTCATAGTATGGGAATGGTTTATTGAACAGACCCTTGGCATTAGGGTGGCTCTGCAACATCATTAAAGGTTGGTTAATGAAATTGCAATGAAAATTACTCTAGCAAATGGATCATAAATGATACAAGTACAGTAAATAATAAAATGGCATACCGTCACCCAATCATTGAATATCTCCCTCTCCACCTCTATCTGCTTCTTGATATCGTTCCATCCAAAACCACTCCCACCGTTTGGGCCGATCATTTCAGCGATCGCATTGTAGTGATTTTTTAACAACTTAACCCAGGATGTGATGTGAGGGATACCTCTGAGGGTACATCCAGGTATCCTTTGATGCATGAGCTTCTCTATAGCCGCAGAAAATACAGGTTTAAAACCATTATCTCCTTTGAAATTGGACCCTATATCAATGAGACATTCCACAAGGACTTTATCCTCTTCCGCAGTCCACGTATGATTACTTCGTTTCGTTGACTGCTGGCTGTCTTCGGCCATGATGTTCAATGATGAACTATAAAAATTGCAATATGAGAAATATCCAACAGCCAAGTAATATGTGAAAAAAGGTTATATCGACCCAAAGTTAAAGAAACGTAACATGAATATACCAACAAACGTAATATGAGAAATATACAACAGCAAAGAAATATGTGAAAAGAAACTAATCCATCATAAGCCAGCATTCAACATTATTACAAGAAATTAGTGCACTGATCAAAGTTTGTAGTCCAATCTAAGGCATCATGTAAACTAGCATAAATTTTGGACTATTAATTGTTACATAGTACAAATCAAACACATGTCCTCCAGTTATTAAACATCTATTGGGCCATATCGTCCCTAAGTTGTGACCATGCATTAGATGTCTCCACGTGAGTGATCATTTCATTTGCTCCCATCTCGTCTTGAACCGGTTGAAGATCCACTTCACGATCCTCCAATGGGTCAAAAGCCATTTCTCTTCTGATATGGTTTTGTAGCAAGCAACATGCAGTTATAATCCTGCATTGTGTTTTAACCGGGTAGACTGACTTCGACCTAACAATCGCCCAATGCCCCTTCAACATCCCAAAACAGCGTTCTATGACATTCCTTGCAGAAGAATGTTTCATGTTAAAAATTCCTGCGCTGTTGTTGGTTTTGCCCCATGTCTCCACTCACTGAGATGATATCTTGCCCTCTATAAGGTGCAAGGAAACCTTCTCCATTCATGTAACCAGCATCACACAAATAATAGTAACCTAAAACATTCAACATGCCAAACATTAGACATAAAATATCATGTAATAAGAAACTGAACACTTTGCAAGATACAGAAGTTAAAGGATAAAGTTTGAGGCAACCCTTAAACCACTATTACGAGATATGACATCTCTGAAGACCCTGGAATCTGCAGCTTATCCTTCCCATCCGGGCAAAACATAAATAAACTGAGCATCTTGTGAACAAACCCCTAGGACATTGGTTGCTATGTCTCCCTTCCGAGTGCGGTATCTAGCCTTATCAGCTTGTAAAGGATTTACCTTGATGTGTGTCCCATCCAGAGCTCCCAAACAATTCTAAAAATTCAGACCAAAATATCTTTCGTATTAAGGGTTGCCTGTCACAGTCATCAATTTCGACAACTATATATTGTAACAGTACAACTTAGTGAGAAGTTACCTTGAACCACTTCCACTTTTCATCAGTTGAGTTCTCAAGGACGGCCTCAGGCCGTTTTAGTAAAACTGTATGACAGTGAACCACAGCCAACAACACATTGGTGAACTGCCTGCTAATTGTTTCACCGGACCTCATGAATTGTCTTTTAATTATCCTATTCTTCACATCATGTGCCAAAATGTGAAGAAATATTGCAACCATCTCTTCTACACCCATATGCTTCGTCGTTTCAAGCCCCCCAACAGTTTTGACTAACTCACACAATTTAAAAAAACACCTCCTGTCCATCCTTGTATTCTCTATACAAGTCGTGTCACTTAAATGAATTATTCTATGGAAATTTACTTCCCTTACCCTAACCCTACTACAAAACTCCCATGTTACTGTCCTCCTTTGATTTCTCTTTTTTAGAATATCGCGTAATAACAGAGCACACAAACTCATTAACAACATTGTAATTTGATTCATACACTGCAAATGTGTGATGAGTACAACAATGACACTAAACTCCATTCCATTGTTCATTGCCACAATCTAACACAAGCAAGGACAAATCAATTCAGCTGAAACAAAAAAAACAACATATAACAAACCAAATAATTGATGCCTTTCATGAGATGCAGAAAGAACAACCCATTTGTAACATGTTCATTTGGTACAATTATTGAACATGACTTTTATGATTAAAAGTAACACAATAAGAACTCCCATGACTGACATGTTCATTTGTCATAATTATTAATTTTTTATTTAAATAATTCAATTAACAATATTCAAACAAGCAAGAACAGGTTGAGATGAAATTAAAGAAAAAACTATTTTGCCAACATATTGTGTCCAATATAAGTCTGGAATCATGACAAAAAAGACATACGTATGTTACACAATTTTAATATTTAGCTCTTAAACGAGAATGGTTTGTGAACAAACCTCTGAAATATGTCTGGTGTGTCCAACAACAAAAACAAGTATGTATTATTCCACTACGTGAGGTCGGTTACATGTACCATATGACAACATTTGTGCTCTATTAAAAAACAAGTATGTATTAAAAAATAATAAACCTCATTTGAGCTAATATTCCTGGAAATATTTTGGCCTACCAAATAGTTTTTTGGTAATATTCTTGAAAAAATTCATTTTTCTAACATATTTTTAATAATTGTGATTCCTAGGAACAAAAAATTTCTTTTCTATCAAATGCCTTGTGAGGAATTATTATCGATAGTTGGGTTTTTCTTGAGATGGGGATTAGGTTCGAGCTTGAGGGTGTGTGCTGATAGGCTTGGACACGATCTTGTTAAGTCGACGTGCACTAGGCTTGTGGGTGTGTAATTAATGTTCTAATGCCTTGGTACTAGGGGTCCTAAACGAACCAGAGGCCTTTCAGGGGTCTTTGACTCGGCTCGTGAATGCTTGAGCTTACATGTCTAAAATTGGTTGTTGGCACCAGGCTTGAACTTGTATAAAAGCTCGTTTAATAAAAAGGCCTCAGGCTCTAATTCAAAAGCTCGACCTTAGAGCCTCACAGGCTGGCCTAGTATATATATATATATATATATATATATATATATATATATATATATATATATATATACTACTTGTAATAGCCCTCTCTTTCTACTCGATCCATTTCACCCCATTTTATTGGTTAAATATACTTTTTGAATGATTTTGTTCTATATTATGATGTTTGGATATACATTGAATTTATGAATATTTATGAAATTACTAGTGTTTTGATTTTATATTATGTTTGGATAAATTTTTATTGTCTTATTTTTTTTAAACGGGCTAAACCAGACTTTTATTTTTTGTAAATAAGTCATGCTGACACATTTAAACAGGGAACAAGATTTGATATTTATAACAGGTAACAAGATTTGTCGTGCTGACATATTTAAACAGAGGCTTAGTCTTTTAAGACCAAAGCTCGGCTCGACTCGGCCGTTAATACCCTTACTTGGTACACAACCTCGCTAAGTCAAATGGAAGAGCTCATTTTCAATGCTACAAGAGTACATACTCTTTTGTCAAATTGAAAAAAATAAGGTGGTGTTTGATTGGGGGTATCTAATAGGATGTCTATGCAAGTGAAAGTGGGAAAGTTAAACACCAATGTTTGGTAGAAGGTTTCTGCCAATTTCTCCATCTATTAGATTTACATAGCTTTCAATATTTTGTAGTAGAAAGCAATGGAAATTCACTATTAAGAAAGACAAATTGCATGTGGTATTTCAAACTTAGCCAGGGAAATAAAGGATTGGCAAATGACATCAGACCATAATACCCTCATAAGCCTTCTCAGGCACAGGCATAAGCCTTCAAGGAAATGATAATGCGGTCACAGATGTTGTGATTTTCCCTGCTGCTATAGGAATAATGGTAACTGGTCAAGCCAACACTTTTTCTGGTGTACATTGCTACAATAAGGCCTCTGGCTTTGGAGGTACTGGGATTTATTTGAAACTTCCTGGTTTAACACAAACTAGGATTGTGAATTCTTACATGGATTACACCAAAATTGTTGTTGAAGACCCTATTCAAGTTCATATCTCTAGCAGTTTCTTCCTTGGTGATGCCAATATTGTACTAAAATCAATCAAAGGGGTTGTAAATGGTCTAAGTATTGTTGACAACATGTTCTCAGGTTTAAATAATGGGGTTGAAATTGTGAAGCTAGACCAATCAAATAGTCCTTTCAATCAAATTGATCAAGTTTTAGATTAGAATAATGAGAGTTGCAGAGACAGAACAAGGAGAGCGTGAGTGCGTTTCACAAATAATGAGAGTTCCAGCATCTTCAAACTAGATCGAACGGCTCGTTTTGGTTTAGACCAAACACTTTTCACTTTTATCATGGGGTTATATTTGTAATTATATCTCTTTTACCCATCAATATTTTATCTTCAACCAAACATATATTTGTAAATTTTTTATCAATTTGCCTAGTAATATTTGGCCCAACCAAACAATTTTTTTTTAACTTTCCTACCTAACTCATTTTCTAACAATTTTCCTATCAATTACATTTCTCTAGTATTCAAAAATTTTCTCCTCAACTAAACGCCCCTAAGGGATAAGAGCGAAAAAAACTACAAAGGTGAGAATAGTGTAAAAATATTATTTTTTGCCATATTTAGTAAATGATGTATTAATTATTCGGTGCGGTTGGAGTATAAAAAATAATTTCCAAATAGAGGGTCCTGGTGTGGGCCACTAGCCCAGCAACATGATTTTTTTTAATTTGACTTTTTATATTATAATAAAATTAAAATTAGAGTAAAACGAGACCAAAACTATCCAAACGGAGATATAAATTTTTTATTTTTTTGATAAATCATATGTATCCTCCACGAGACACAATCTTATTCAGGACGGGTCGATGATTATATCTCTTTTAAAGATAGTACAGGATCGAACACATGCTCATCTCTCATGCATCAACTAAGTTACCATTATTTGGTGGAGAGAGAAAACTTTATAAGCTTGCCATGCAACTTTGTCCTATATTTTTAGGGATAGGTTATTGTGCCTACTTCTATTTTACCTAATTTCGCTACCGCTTTCGTTATCGTTCGATTACCATCTCGTCCAACGATCTATATTTGTGATATAAAATAAATTTTTTTTTCTCTTTCTTTCTTCTCACTTTCTCCCATACTCTTTCTCTCTCCTCTCCTTTCTCTCTTCCTCTACACCATACCTAATTTTTTTTTCCTTCTGCCGCCGTGGACCTCAATCTCCTGACAAACTGTTCGATTCTAATAATATTTTTAATCTTTATAAATTAATACGATTGAATCGATGACTAATAAAGAAGTTTTGATGTGATTCAAAGCGGCGGTCGATCTGTTCACAGAATCCTCCTTGTCTCTTCTTCAATATGTCGATCTGTTCTTCCACATGATAGATACTCTTAATTTCTAATAATTAATTGGCTATCTGTATCAACATAATTGCTGGAATGGCACCAATTAACCCTCTTTCTGGATTTTTCCAATATCAATTTTTTTTATTCTTTAATTTTTTTATTTGTTTTGAATCTTTTTCAACTCTGCACAGATCTTTTGAATCACATTAAAACTTCTTTGTTAGTCATCGATTCAATCTTATTTATTAATTTATAAAGTTTATGTTGTTCTTCAGATCTAAAAATTTGTTGTGATTTTTCAATCCATTGACACTTGTAGTTTGATAGAAACTGATTCAGAAGGAGAAAATTTATATTACAATAATAAAAACAGAGACTAATGTATATTGACGATGATTTCAAATGTTGTGGTAATGATTTCAAATGCTTCCCATTCAGCTGGGCAGAGATTAACCATAAAGGGAACAAAATAGGTATATGGCAGAGGAAGAGAAAAAGGGGAGGAGAGAGAAAAAGTATAGGAGGAGAGAGAAGAAAGAAAGGGAATTTTTTTTTATTTTATATCGCAAATATGGATTGTTGGATGAGATAGTAATCGAACGGTAACGAAAGGAGTAGGCAAAAGTAGGTAAAATAGGAGTAGGCACAATAACTTATTCCATATTTTTAATATGACCTATTTATCTTATATTGCATAAAATAATTATCTTATGTAATAGAGATAAAGTAGTAGAGTCCACTACTTCTTAAGTAATAGACTTCATTCCTCTGTCTTTTATTATATAAGATAATTATCTTATACAATTATTTCCTACTTTTATTTGACTATTTTTTATCTCTGAGATTAATTGTCATGACGTGTGCGAGGAGAAATTTTAAACGACCAATTTCTTTTTTCTGTAGATAATAGCCAAGAGTCGGTCTTTTTCATTATTTTTTTGTTCATATCTGCTCTTTTTCCAATTCCAATTATCTGCATTTTCTTTTAATTGTCTCTTTGAGGCGAGTTAACTCTTCATATTATCTCCACAAGCTTTGACTCTTTGAGCTGGCTATGAGATTAATCCGGAGGGCAGGTCATGTCAGAGATGAAGATATTTAAACTACTCTCAAAAGTGGTATATGAAGATCAAACTAAGACCCTTCCATACCCATTTACTCAACTCCCTCGCAACCAAGTGAACTACCACCATTTAGTTTTTACAATTTGTTTTTTACCCAAGAGATAATGAGCAAACAAAAACCAACCAGCATCCTCAACTTTTTTAGAAGTTTGGAAACCTCAAATTTCTCTCCTCTTATTCCCATAACACCATCTTCAAATTTCAATCATGTTGAAGATGATTCCACCATAGAGAGTCAATTTACAAAATTACAAAGCGATAAATCCAGAATATTGAGTTTATTTCCTTATCTCGCCATCCAGGATTATGTCCGTCCATAACGGATTACACTGTCATTAAATGGGATGAAATAAGAATATATACATCTCAAATTTGTGTCATATTAACATATTCTCCAGGAGCATTCGTTGTCTGAACCGAAGGGATGAGAACATCGATTAATTCAAGTTTCATGGTTTCAATTATTTCCTCAATGATAGATGCGGCATTTAGTTTGATTTATTATCTATTTGGTCCAGATAAAAAAAAGTGAAAAATCGTATGACAAGTCCATCTAGTATCTTTCATGAACGTTTGCTTTTAGTTAAAAGTGTTTAAAGTACCGCTCCGGATAACAAATCCTGAAGTCGTCCCTAGCTAATTACACGAGTTATGTTGTCAATGCCGAGACTCCTAGGAACAATTAGAATTACTGGCTCTGCAATTAGCGTGGATGTGTTCGTTAAGGTGAATTAAGTTTAGAAAATATTAAGTTTAGAATTACTGGCTCTGCAATGCCCAAACATGCAAACTCATAGGTTCGACGAGAATGTTAGATAACAATAGTCCTTTGTTGCAAACTTAAGCCCAGGCTCACTTACACAAAACAAGCTCATCAGCAATAAGGCCACAAAAACAATTCAAAGAGACATTCAAGGGATTAGTGCGTGAGTCCATGCACCCAATGCATATTCACAAAAACTTAATCGTAAGCAAAAAATTAGGTTTTTGATTCTTCAAATAGAGACCTACGTTGTTTATAATAAACCTTTGGATCTGTAAATACATGGTTGGAAATGTAAATATTTCTTTATTAGTTGTGCTTTTATAATGTTATTTTTACTGTAAATATTATTCTTACCAGATGCATAATGCTAATTAAGTAATTACGCAAATCAGAAAAAGAGCATCAATATTTATTTTCGCGTTTCATGTATGATAAACACATCCAAATTTTATTTCCAATTAACAAGAAACAAGACTTGGATTTAGGTCTTATTAGGAGACAAAGGACCTCAAAACAAGCTAGTCTTACAAAGCTATATATAAGAACCGAAGCTATAATCGACCAATCATCATCTATCCACTTCATATTAGCTACGAAGCTTTATTTTATAATTTATAAAATTTAATCCCATAAACTTCTACCTAAATTTCACTCCAAGCCTAACACTTGAGTTAAAACTATAGCCACCTTAGAAATTTATTTAATGCAATACAAGTGAAAATATTTTTAGAAAATTACATCAAAGGTTTAGGGATACAGTTCAACAAGGGACCTAAAACCAAACATAGGGAATATTTTGTAATGTTCGAAGCCTGCTCTGACAAAGATTTGTTTCCAATCCTTTTCATCTCTCTCTTTTCCATTATGCAAAGTCATCATTGCAATGTCGAAAAGGATCTTTAATTCTGTCATTTCATGCTCATCTTCCTTTTCATTTATCACAGTATCTATGATTATCACTTTTCCTCCTTTACCTGAAATAGCTTCTTTACAATTTCTAAGTATCTTTATGCAATCATCATCATTCCAGTCATGTAAAACCCACTGCAAGAGTGAAAAACAAGTTAAGGATTAGAAAGACTGTCAACCACTTCTGTTAAGGGTTAACTATGTTAAAAAATGTACCGAATAATGTTACAAACTAGAATAATTAATAAGTATGCATTCACGTATTTGTAGTAAGTTTAGGGAAAACAAGTCATCTCATACCTTGAGTAAAATTGCATCAGCATGAGGGATAGATTCAAACATGTTCCCACCAACATAACTCAAATTATTATTTCCAGATAAGTCTGCTACAACTTGTGGAAGATCCAACACCGTGCATTTTAAATTAGGAAATGCTTTGCAAATTATCTTAGCTGTGTTTCCAGTTCCGCCACCAACATCAACTAGAGAATCCAAGCCCTCAAAAACTGATTTGCAATCATTCAAAGCCAACTTTACCATACGAGAATCACTTTCCATGGCCTCATTGAAGTTCTCCATATCCGTAGTATTTTGATGAATAAAATCCCAAAAAGCTCCGGGACCTGATGCAGTCTCAAAGATTGTGGGGTCCTCACCAGAAGTCCATTTATCCAACTGATGGAATAAACCAACAAGAGTTGGGTGGTTTATCAAATGAACCATTGAAGACAAACAATAGTCAGTGCCTTTGACAAGGAGTTGTGATGAAGGAGTAAGAGCATACGCTTCTTTGGTGTCATCGGTTTTGATGATTGCAAAGAAGTCATTGAGTGACAATAAGCGCATGAGACGTTGGACACAAGTAGCTTTAGAATGAGGAACATGGAGAGATGAAACAAGTTCATGAAGAGTAATGGGTTGACCATGCTTGTGAATGATATCAGGTATGCCAAGGTTAACGGCCCACTTGATACACATGGGACTAATGATGTTAAACATGTGTTTGTACAAGTGAGCTTGAGCTTGAAAGAGTTCACTTGCTTTGAAGTCTTTCATGGAAGCCATGAGAATGATATCGAATGCTGATTGTGTTGTGTGTTTATGTTCAGAATTTGTCACTCGCTCTGCTCTGAACTCAACTTGCTCTGCTTCTGCTATATATACTAATTGATCGACACCTCCCACATGTTGCTGAATTATTAAAATATCAATATCGTGTCCTGACCTACTTCATTAGTGTTAGGTTCGCGACCACTTTTCTTAGTGGTGGTTTTTTTTTCTTTTTATCTCAAGGGTGACTTAATATGGTTTGTATTTTTTACGCAAGGCATCCATTCCAGTAATATTATAAATACCAAAATGTGCAACTATATTGGGCTTTCGACCCATCTAGCTCAATGCATCCAAACATTTCATTGAATAGGGTGGTTGGAAATCTCTTTTTTTTTTTTTTGGAAAAATGTTTATCCTTTCAAATGACATAACTTATATTCTTTCACTCTTACAAAGATGTGGGACCCACATCTTTATTTTTTTTTGTCAACTCTCTGTCCTCCTTTATCTATCTCTTTCTCTCTCTTAAAATGACACAACTTTACATCCTTTAAAATGATACACACTTTTTCCTTTTCTTTTTTATAAAATATATAATCCGTACACTCACCCACTTTTAATATTATATAATTAAAATTATTAGCTAAAATATTATTATAATAATTAAGTATTATATTAATAATTCTCAATTAATATTAATAATTAGCTAATCATTAACAAAATTTTACGTAAATAAAATAATTGGCTATAATTGATTTTTAAATAAATAATACTTAATAATTTTGAAAATATTTCTATAATTATTTTACAATTTAATGCCCTCTAGCCCTTATTGTTATTGTGGTTTTCATTAATGATTGTTAGGGGAGTGAATGAGCCGAACAGCTTGTCAGAGGCCCAAGGTTTGCCTTGTTTTAAACTTAGTTTGGCCTATCTTATTTAATAAATAGAAGGAGCTCAAGCTTTGAAAAAAATATTGTTTACCAAAAAGTCCAAGCCTAATTTAATGAGGCTTGGGTTAAAAACCCGTAAGCTGACCTGATATATTATTATAATAAATAATGAGATTAGTATTTATCCTGTTAAAGGACATAAAATTGTATCATTTAAATCTAAATTACAGTGTTTTATACTCAGAAAAGGAGGAATAAATCTTTGGTGCTACTGTTGCACCAAAGATTCAGTGCATCCCACAAATGGAAATATTACATGTCAGTCAAAGTTCTCTTTCATCTGCCAAATTTTCTCTCTCTTCTCTGATGTGTAATGCTCCAATTGATGGGATGCATTGAATCTAGGTGCCACAGTAGCACAAAAAATTAATTCGAGAAGGAGATGCATAATGGAAATCAAAGGGGGAGAAAGTGGAAGATTTTTTAATTTAAATATTACGTAAAAAACACTCATTTTAACTAAAATGATCATCTTTTAAAAGGACAATTTTTTTTTCATAATAATATGTTTTTATGTCACTAAATCATTATCCCTACTTTTTTACTATTGTTTATTGGCATTTTGTCGCTGACACAATTTCAGAAACAATCTCTCTGACTATTGCTCACTCATTTCCTCTCTCGGTGACTTACTGAATTTGATACATTTTTAGTCTCAACATTTAGACATACGTGAGTTTAGCAAAAATACGTTTTATAATATAAATGAATTAAGTCAACCTCGAGCTAAGATTTTATTTTTTCATAAACAAGTCAAGTTAAGCCTAGAATTTAGCTTGCTTCATGTTAATGGGTCAAGTCAAGCTCACAATACTTTTCATAGGCTTGACTTGTTTAAGGTAAAGCTTGACTCGACTCAGCTCATTTACCCTTCTAATGATTGTTCACTTATTCCATATAATGGTTAAAAAAATAAATCACAAAAAAATGGTACACGGAATTTGTTATCAATAAAATTTATTCATTAATTATTATAAATTTATAAATTTACGCAATGTTTTTATTAATGAATTTACGCAACTCAAATTACTTAACTGGTTTACAAATTAATAAGAAATGTACAAAACGAAAATTAATAAGAAGCATTTGGCGAAGATGGCTGCGGAACTTGGAGAGTCTATTCACGTTTTCACTGCTCCCCTGCAAATTGTGTCTCTCTGCTTCATGATGATATGGTTGGCGTGGCAAATAATGAATGCATGAGAAATCGAACAAATCCATTTTTCTTAAAGGATATTATGAATGCAAGTCACCAAGATCAACACAATGAGTAGCCCAGAAAATAATGAGGCTGCCCTAAGAAAACGAGCAGAAAGAGGAAAGAAGTAAAGCCCAACACGCAAAAGCCCTTCAGACTGTGTGTGAAACGAATATTGTTGGCGTGGCAAATAATGAAAGCATGAGAAATCGAACTCATCCATTTTTCTTAAAGGACATAATGAATGCAAGTCACCAAGATCAACGCAATGAGTAGCCCAGAAAATAATGAGGCTGCCCTAAGAAAACGAGCAGAAAGGGGAAAGAAGTAAAGCCCAACACGCAAGAGCCCTTCAGACTGCGTGTGAAACGAATATGTAGTAAAAAAGAATCCAGTGAAACACTGAAAAGGCCCAATATGAAAAAAAGAAGAACCAAGTGAAAGACGGAAAGGCTTGGTAAAAATCAAATAGAAATAAAAATAATAATTGACATAAGAATATGAAAGAGAATGAAGCAGGTTGAAATCATCAAATCATAAGTAATGTTGTTTCTGTCATCCATTATATCTCATATAATTATTATTTTGTTTTTCACAGTTTTTTGTTTGCACATAGTAAGGGAGTGTATTGGATTAGGATTTTAAAAGACTTTTTTAAGATAAAAAATTTATAGATTTTAAAAGATTATTCAGAATTGAAGAGAATTTAAAGACTTTTCTAAAAGATCTTTTTTACAATCAAGTTTTTGTAAAATTGAATTTTAATAGAATTTATAAGATTTGAAAGGACAATATGGATTTTTAAGATTTTAAAAAATCATATGAATTTTTAACAAATGTTCAAAATTACAAAAGTCAATAAAAAATTTAACAAAGTAATGCAATGATATTAATAAAAAAAATTAAAACGTAATATAATTTTCTTAATTAGTAAAATTCATGATAAATTTTCGTTTGAAATTCTTTGCAATTGATCTTGTAAACTTTGGGATTTTTGTTCTAAGTGATGAGAGTTTTCTAACCATATATCATATGTATGTTTTCATTGAGTATTCCAAGAAAATTTCAAATTTGAATTTCTGGGTTGTATTACATGAAAGTTTAAAAAATTTCTCAAATTATTTTCAATTGATACATTGAAATTTTAAATTGCTTTGGGGGTTTTGAAAAACAAATTTTTTGTTATCTATTGACACAAAAATTGTTTGAAATCGTTTTCTATATAGTGAAGTGTTGGGTTTGCTCTTTTACTAAAGCCCAAATGGGTTATTAGTATGAGAAGAGCCCAAGGAACCTAGAGCCCAATGAGCTAGGGTTTCTTGGAACCCATATAAATAGTACCTCTTAAGTCATCATCCTCCAAGGTCTTTTTTGTGAGAAAGAGGCAAGCTCAGAATCTAATCAGTGCCCACACACTTCCCCTTCCTCCTCGAGAGATAGTTTGGAAGATCTGCCACAGTCCAGCTTCAAGGAGGTTGTTCGTGCTGCGGCGCTGAGGTGAGCTGTTCGTGAAGAGGAATCCTACAAGGGAAGATTCTACACGAGACCTGCGCACCGAGAGGTAATTGTGAAACAAGGATGATTCGGTAAGCATACCAATGTACTAGGTCCTAAACCGCTTCCGCATAAATCTAAGATTTCCTACAATTGGTATCAGAGCCTTGGCTGTACATTGGTATGTGAATCTAGTTTCACTATTCATGTAATTAGTTTTGCTTTTTGAAATGTGGCACCTAGGGTTCTAGGATTATGGTATGAATCTAGCATGTGTATTTTATAATTCATTTTCATAAAAGTTTAAATTTTAATCGGTAAAAATGCTTTAATCCATGGTTAGGGTCTCTTGTGTATTTCTCGATTTGTAACAAGGAGGCTAATCCCATATGATTAGGTTTCCTCCTTGTTGTTTTTGTTTATTTTTGGAATTTCTGTGTATTTTTTCAATATTTTGCAAAAATTCAAGATCCAGAAATCGCGAGGAAGATGCGCAGTCAGCACTGTCAGAGACTTTTCGAGGACTTACCGATCTCGGAATGGGGCGATCTATATATGGTTGGAAAGAGTACGGAAAGACGAACACAAAGGTGGGTGGATCGCCGCCATCGGAGACTCCACGCTCCGCCACGCGCCTCCACAAGAGGCTGAGAGTGGCCGCCACTCTCCGACAAAGAATGGGAGAGGGAGGGAGCGTCCGGCAACCTTTTTGGGTGTTTCCGGCGGCGGAGCACTCTTCTTTATGTGGCGGTCCTTCCCCTGGAGTTTTGGCCTGAGTTGAGTTCGGGTGACGGCGCGGCAGACCTGACGGCTAGGGTTCCTCTTTCGCGTCCTAGGGTTTCTCGCCAAAGTGTCTTTGGGCTTTTGGGCCCATGGAAACCCTAAAGGGGCTTGAGACAGATACTATGGGCTAGGCGAAAGTTGAATTCCAAAGTTGTAACATTTTTTTTATTTTCTTTAAAATAGGAATGTCATGGATTAAAGTAATTATGATTTATTATTTAATGCTTTTATTGATTGGTATAAATTATATGATTGATAACATGCTTTATTGCGATAACATGCCATATAGAATAGGTGGTGCCATATTGTTGCATAACTTGTATGATTGCATGAGCATAATAGCTATTATGTCTTCAGCGACTAGTATGATAGTTATTATGGGATTATTTTTATTTTAAATCATCCTAAGAAATTAATTAATAATTATTATGATTTTTATTAAAAATCTAGATTAATATATGAATTAATTAATTTTGGATAATTAACATCAAGACAAATAATCGTTATGGAAATTATTTTGATTTCAAATTATCCTCATAAATGATAATTATTATGATTGTTGCAATCTAGATTAATAATTAAGT